ATTCTACTAAGTTTTGGTACAAAACTAGCTTATAAATACCTTATAAATGTTTCATATTTGTAAGCATTTTTTTTCTAATGTTCTTTAATATTTTCATTGTAATTAGTACCATGTATACCATGTATATAGTGATCTGTTATAGTTGAGAATAAAACACCAGTAGGCAGAGATTTCCAGTAAAATTCATCAGAACCCCTAATCCCGAGTTTATTTTTAATTACACAAAATTAGCAAAAGCATTAAAAACAAAATAGTATGTAATTTTAATACATATTCATTTCTATCTTATGTATATTCATTGTTACAAATTTTATATTATAATCATTTATTTCATTCACTGCATATTATTTCATATTTCTTTTGCATCTGGTGATATTATAGATTTGTGTAATTTTCTTCTTACTTTGCATTAAATTATACATATACATAGCTTTTTATTTTTACAGTTTTATATAAGTTACTAGCAAAGTTTGAAATCTGGCATTTCTATAGAATGCTTAGGCATTGTATATAATGGCTTAAACTAGCCAGCAATGTATGAAACGATTTATATTTCACACATTTCCTAGGCATTCTATAGAATGCCAAATGAGAAACCGGCAAAGATAAATCCGATTTGTTTTGAATATCACGTGGCAAGACATGTGACTTTTAACTCATGCCTCAAAGCTTAGAATTTGTCAGTTGCACTTTGCAGTTTGTACGGGAGTGTCAAAATACGCAATTTTACTTAAATTTATTCAACAAAAATTACTTTTTTATTGTTCTGCATGAAAATGGAGAAGCAAGCTGCAGTATTAGAGAAGGAGTCACAGTCTATAGACATGAAACTACAATTCGACAATAAACTGTGCAAAAATAGAATTAACGCTGCAAAAAATAGTGTTTTCGTAACCGAAACTAATTACCAGAAGTTAATAAATGATGTACAAAAAGCCAAAATGACATGATGAAGTCATGCTTACCGAAGAGATTTTCATTTCTGATACCTGTTGTGTGTGTGTGTTTAAAGGCACCAAGTGATGCACTTGCATGCAAAATGTGTCATAAAAAAATTCATACCTTCTGTGGCTATGCTAGTAAAGGTGATGAAATGGATATTTTGTGTAATATTTGTTTCAAAAGTGAAAATGCTGTCGAAAGTAAAATAAACTCTAAAATCAATCTCGAAATAAAAACCAAAAAATGAAAATGAATTTGGAAAAAACATTTCCCACTGCTTCTTTGGGAGCTATCATGCGCATTTCTATTCCTGACATCGACAAGGAACAAAGTGATTCGCGCAATATATTGGCAGCTGCATTGAGTGTGACAGAGGATGGTTTCTTTCAACTTGGAACTTCTGAAGGAATTTTAAAACAAGTATATGCGATATCACAATTTACTTTATGCCCTAAGAACTTGCTTAGAATTGACGATAGTCCTGACCACAAAATTCCTCTCTTGTCAGCTGTAATTGTTCAGTCCAGTGGCAGCAGCCAAGGATTTGTCATATGTATGTCAAAATATTAAATGTCTTTGCATGAAAAATGTAATGAAATGAAATTCAAAATTCCATTCAAGCCTGCCAAGTTGCAACAAGTAGGTTAATTTCTTAATTTTTATATAAAAATTTTATTTCCCTTAATAAGAAAGGCATAAATTATGTTTTATACAACTTTCATTTTCCTTTACACATTTTGAATAATTTTTTTCAATGGCACTCTATTTTTTCAGAATAATATTTGTATTTTTGAGAAATGCACATCATTTACATAATAACCTCATCAGGACTTTTTTCATACTTTGCCTAAATAGCATTTGTCATTCTATAGAATGCTTAGGTATTATATACAATGCCTAGGGAAAGTATGTAATACTTCTCATATTTCATACTTTGCCTAAGAACATCCGGCATTTTATAGAATGCTGGCGTTCCATACGTTGCCGGTAACATATAGATATATATAATTATTTTATTACATTTTAACACATGAAATTTTGTGCACATAACCAGTGGAACCACAGAATGAATTCAAAATTTCCCAAATTTGGCAATGGTTTACAATATTGCAAAAGCTTAGCTTGGCAAGCATGTGAATTTCAAGAAATATCTTCATGAAAAAATTCCAGTAATCTTCCCTTTATCAACATTCATAAAGCTTATAAAGATATCTAATATTTCATACTTCTGTCCCATTTTCTGTATCTTAAATTTTTGTTACACACTTTGTTTCTTATGACAGCATTTCGATTCTGATAAAGTTTATATTCAAGGAGACAAAATACTAGAAATTATTTTCATAACAGATTGTACACTGCTGGCCATTAAAATTGCAACAGCATAAGGGAAGCAAATACATACTTATTGCACATAAACAGTATGGCACAAAAACAAAACGATTAAGTTTTTAAGCAGTTTGGGGGTTTACAGGGGTGCGAAATTGGTAGAAACAGCTGTCACCCCTGGCAGCTAAAATGCCCTTACCCAGTTAGGTATGGAGTTGAACGGGGCTTTGATGACAGAAACAGGCAACTCATTCCATGCTGCTTCAAATCTACTGTATTAGCTCACAGTTAATCAACTGTATTAGCTGCAGAGGAATGGTGTGCCAGTCTCTTGGCAACCCACAACCAGATGCTTTCAGTGGGTGAAGATCTGGAGATCGTGCAGGCCTGGGCAGCAATTCAATACCCTGTGTATCGAGGAAGGTCAGAACATGACATGCAACATGTGACCTCGCATTATCTTGTTGGAAGATGGCATGTGGCAGGCCTTAAAGATAGAGCACAATCACTGGGGAGGTAAAATGTCAGAAATGTACCAATCTGCATTCAAATTACTGTCGATCTGAACTAGAGATGTGCGTGTTATGTACCCAACGGCTGCCCAAACCATCATACCAGGTGCAGGGCCTCTGCCGGTATTAAATGCAAGCAGGCGAAGTACGGTCTCCTTGGACTCTCCAGACCACCAGAGCATGAAAAGACAACAGCGTGCCACTCGTGTATCTAGCTTTGTCGCTCAGCGCACCAGAGTCGTTGTCTCTCTTCATGTTGCATCCTCAAGGGAAGCCAAAGTAATGGTCGCCATATCACGCTGTTGCAAACATCAACACACCGTACGAGCTGATACCGGGCATGCTGCAAACATGCCCATTTCCTGACTAATGGTCCGTGATGTGATTGTTGGGTTTTGCAGTGCTAACCCTCACAATATGTCTGTCGTCTCAGGCCTTAGTCATAGGAGGGTGTGTGGATCCTACATGCCATTCAGTATGACCCTCAGGAACCCATTGATTTCATATTTGCATGACAGTGGTTGGATGTCAATCTGTGCAACAGGCAATATCAGGGAAAGATAATCCACACTCTCGATAGACAACAATCCTGCTCTATCAAATTTTGACACTTGCTAGTAAACATTTCTTCTTAATATTCGAGGCATAACACGACATTCTGAGCAAACTCTGACTTTACAAAGTGCTTTCTGAATGAGAAATCCACTACACAGCTTTTCTTTTCATGCATATCTCCACCTCTTCTTCCTTTCATGAGATTTTGACATTCGTCAGATCATTCCTTCCTGGCACTGCAATGTTAATGGCCAGCAATGCACATATTCAGTTAATCAGGTTCTATTCGTAAACTTACCAATTTACAAATCTGAAAAAAGTGTTCCCATATAAATATTCTCTCAAGCCAAGAAATTAATCTCACTGAAAAAATTAAGATATCCTAACTCTCTACATTGCATTGTCAAGGGAAGCAGAAGTAATGGTCGTCATGTCATGCTGCTGCAAACACTTATCTTTTCATACTTATCTTTTGAAAATAAATTCATACTTATCTTTTGAAATGGATGAATAAATATTAATCAAACTGTGTCTTCAAATCTTTTGCATAATTCACATAATGTGATACTTGTACACTGCACAAAAAAAAAGGACAGTTCTATATCTCCCTTTCTACTGGGCCGATTGACGAAATTCAAATCGTGTTTTTTATGTCTCAAAAGCGCGACTTAGGATATATATTAGATTTATATATAGCGGTGTTCTAACATAGGTATTTTATTCTGAAATAACATGCCAATTTTTTTACATATTTTGATTCTATGGCTCAAACCAGATTGCCAAGTTTTGTAAAAATCGCAAGAGTAGTTTTTACGAAATTAGCTCTCAAAGTTTTAGCTCCTCAGTGTCAATTGAATTTGGTACATATTTATTTATAATAATTATTTATTAATCTCTTTTTATTATTATTATTATTTTATTCTTCCTTACACATTTCAAATTTAGGTTCATCCCACATAAAATTCACCCATTTTTTATGATTTATTTTTTAAATTTGTATTTTTAAAGAATTTTTATAACAGTAAGCATTAACAGCAAGCATTTTAACAGTAAGCATTGATATCAAGAGCCGGTATGGATATGCTCTGACAACTAGCACAGAATTTATAAGCCATATGTTAATTCGTCTTCATCTATAAAGTAGAACGAAATGCACAACTCTTCATTTAGTAAACTAATGACTGGTTCAAGGAATGTATATATCAAAAGTAACAATTCAATAGAAAAATAACAAAAACACCAGAATACAAAAGTGTCACCAACTGCAGGCTGGTGAACTAAACTTACGGATATAAGTTTTCACGTTATTGGAAAGTTCTCTTGTTTTATCCAAATCATGTGGTTTGGACACACAAACGTACAGTGATAAAATCCCAATTTATTTATTCTATCTCTTTTTCCTTTATATAACATTCCTATACATAAGATCAATTCATATACCTATGTCCTATTAATTGTATAATCACTGTATTTACAAATGAATAATTTCAATCTTATACAAGTATAAATATGGTAAAATTTCAATAAATAATTGAAATTTATTCATAACTTATGTAAAACTACTTTGAGAAGCTGGATGTGGCTCGTGGGCCACCAGTTTGAGACCACTGCCTTAGGATATCTTTAAATTTTAATAAAGGAAAAAAGTAATAAAATTCCACTTACTTGCTAGCTTCTTTTATAAGAGCAATAGCAATTAATATGCGCTTCCTTAAGAAGATTATTACTAGGAATAATATTGCAAAAATCACACCACTGATAATAGCTGAAATAAAAAGTTAAATACATAATTTAAGTATTAACATTTGCAAACAATTTCATAACTTTTGTTATAATATTCAAATAAATAGTCCTGATCTCACAAACATATAAATAGATGATATTGAATGTTAGAATAATCAATTAACTTCCACATTAATTATTTTTATAAATTTACCACTTTTATAACATTAAATTAATGCTAAATAAAATTAACTTTAAATGTAACACAAAATGGTATTTTATTCAGAAACATTAACTACATTAAAACTCAATTTTATAAAATAAAAATCCATTCCACTACATTCATAAACTTCCTATAAATTTCAGACAAAAAATGACCATCCACATGTATATGCAACTGATCACAGTTGGAAGTAATTTGGCCAAGTTGAACTAATCTACAAGAGAAGGCTACATGACTTTCTCTCACCTAAATAATGCAAGAAATTAATTAAAATTAAAAAGTTTTATTGTATTTAACTTATAATGCTTACTGTGTAACACTATTCCACTTAAGGAAAAATTTATATTTTCAGAGAGTTGCACCTTAACATTTCTATTGTAGAACTGATCATTTCTGCCCAAAGCTGGATATCTATTATAATTTTATAACAATGATGAGACTTTGAAAGAAAGCCAAAAAAAGTATTTTAGGGAAAAATAATGAAATATCAACAAATAAAGTTTAGCAATCTCTCGGAGTCCAAGGTTTTGATTATCTGCCATCAAGAACAACTGAAATTACAAAAATCTCCTCTTAATTCTAATCGGCTTACTTATATTAAGTATCACTAGAAATACACATATATTTATCTGTTATTTAATTTCCAATCTTTGCTTGTCTCTTCACTTTAGAACACATAGCAGTCCCTCAAGAAGCTTCTAGATATGAATGAAGAAAGTTTTCCATTTTAAAGATCAGATCAAAAAGTTTACTCTGTTTTGTGGATTTCATAATGAATAACAAAACTTTCCACAATAAATACTTTTTAGTACCATTATGACTGTAAGATATAAATGATGGTAGAATTCTCAGACATGAGCATTATTATAGCTCATAAAAAGTAACAATAGTACAAAACATACAAGGGAAAGGTTTGAAAGCAGTAAATGAAACAAATGCAAAAGAAATGACTGGAGGAGAGACCGAAAAGCTTAATTTTGAATAACAAAAAACAAATGAAAGTATTTCAGCAAAACTTCTCAATTAAAATTTTAAAAGTAGTTTCTTTTCTTTAGAAGGATAGTTAAGAGATCACATTCCGAGTTGCAAATGCTCATGGAAAAAAAAATAAAGTTTAAAAAGGGTACTCAAAAATTTATTACAGCCCTTCGAAATCTTGGATTTTGCTGTGTAAAACGAAAAATACGCTAAATGTGCATAATTCAGTTATTTATTTACATCAAATAAAAGTAGGTCATCTTAAAGTAAATAAAGTTATACTTTGTTCACAAAATAAATATATGCAGGTAATAGTGCATAGACATTAGGTTATTTCAGAAGCAGGAGTCATGAAAAATGAACAACACCTTCGCCGGGAATCACCAAGGACCTCTGGATTATGCATCCACCATGCAAACCACAACACCACGAAGGCACACTAAGAAGGCAGGAGAAAATACCTTTTATACTCCCCCTTTTGGGTTTATAGGGAACCCAGTTGCCAAATTTTGGGTGTGGAGAATCAACATCCACCACCCCTTTAGTTTGGGTGCCACTATAACATAGGCTTTTTTGGAAGCAGGAAGGATGAAAAATGAGCAACACCTTTACCGGGAATCGAAGCACAGAGCTCTGGAATACGTCCACAGCGTTCAGACCACCACACCATGAAGGCACACTAAGAAGGCAGGAGAAATACCTTATAATAGAAGTACAATATTTCATTTACTCTACATTAGGAAAATATAAGATCATTCAAAAAATTATAAGTTTAATCACTGTCATCAATTTCATGAACTATTAGATTTTTTCTTCTTGATTAGTATGATGTCACTTTTATTCTTGATTAGTATGATGTCACTTTCATCACTTGAGTGTTCTTGATAAGAATCTGCTTCAATGGTTGACGAATTAGGGAAGATCTCAAATCAACAAGACTTTGTAGCGAAATCTGTAATTAACAATTGACTACATTTTTCCTTTCTAAATCTTTGTAAACCTTCTCATATTGATTTAAGCATTTACTAAGCTCCCGTTGGAGTCAGACAGCTCATTCAACATTGGTGTCATATAGTAAAAAATTATTACCTAATTTTCTTTCCAATTCAAGTCCTATGCTGATGACTCTTGCTGTGAACACAACTGGTTCACATTGCTCTTCATCAGAATCATTGTCTTCATCATGTTTGTTTGTTTCATGAATCATGTTAACTAACTCATCTTCATTTAGTTCTTCATCAGACATTATTTCTTCAATATCTGCCTGAGCTAAATCTTCAAAACTTTCTCCTTCTATAGTTTGGGCCAATTTAGTATCTGAGAATATTCATGCTTTAATGGCAATCTATCATTCTCATCTTTAGCAGCATCCGACCATATTGCTTTCCAGCATGTGTTGAGTGTTGTTGTTTAACCTGAGTATACGACAGTCCAACATGCTTAACATAATCTAAGATTGTAAATTTCTTCCAAGCATTCATAACAGTAAGAGATTCATCACTCTCCATTTGTTCTAAAATATACCTGAAGGTTTGTTTGATATACAATGCCTTAAAAGTCAAAATTATTCCTTGATTTAATGGCTGTAATAGGGAACTTGTATTCTTTGGTAAAAAGACAACTTCTATATTTTCGTGTTGCAAATCTTGAGGATGACCAGGTGCATTATAAATGAACAGAAGAGCCTTAAAAGGCAATCCCTTTTTACTTAAATAATTTTTGACATCTGGGATAAACATGTTATGAAACCATTCATTGAAAGCTATGGCAATTTTTTTATACTTTCTTATAAGCCATCCAATAAATTGGAAGGTTATTTATGTTTATTCCTTTAAATGAGCATGTTTTTGATTAGTGACCAATGGTTTCATTATATAATTGCCTGAAGCATTGCAACATAAAAGACTTGTTATACGACTTTTCGTTACCTTAAGTCCTCTAGCTGATTTGCAAGCTTTAGCTAAATAGATTCTTTCAGGCATTTTTTTCCAGAAAATCCTGGACTTGTCAGCATTGAAGATCTGATCAGAAGTGCAGGAGTTGGAGGCAATGATTTCAGCAAATTTCGTTGGATATTGTTATGCTGCATCCGAATCAGCACAACAATCCGAACAGCACTTTCTCCTTTCAATCTTAGATTATGTAAAGAATGTCTTTATTTAAGTCTCTCAAACCAAACAGGGCTTGCAGAAAAAGATAACTTTTTTACATCTGACGAAGTCAACAGTGACCGATTCTTAAGTGCTTTATAAATCTTTAAAGCCTTGTTTGTTAGCATTACTTATTTGTTACATTAGTATCAATTGGAATTGATTTTTGATTTTGTTCTTCTATCCATATCACTAATGCCTTTTCCATATTTTCCATTGAATCATCTCTTACACATGAAATTGTGCTCTGCTACATTTTTTCTAATAGAGTCTTCATTTTTTCTAATTGTCCTTACTGTGGCTTCATTCATGGAGTAAAATTTAGCAACAAGAGAAAGAGTAACATATGTTATATTTTAATTTTTGCTTCTAAAGAAATAACTTTTCTTCTTATTTGATTTCTTTTCAAATCTTTTGGTATTACAAGACCTTAAAAAAATGTCAATGCAAATTATAAAAATGCCACAGAAAAATATAAATGTTGAAAACTTACCACTAAACATTCAAATATGTAGATAAAAATTATGCAAGCTTTGCAGCTAAAATACTAATACTGCACTAGTTCACATGAACCAAATAACTTTACTGTTGTGAAATACATATACATACTATGGGAATTCCCCTTTTACAACACAAGGAATCCCCGTCCTTGTTGTTGACACCAGTGTTACCAAAGGAATTGAGATTCAATAATGACTTCAAATATGTGTATTTGCATATATGCAGCGGAATATACATTTTTACCAAGTTTTTTTTAATCTGTTAATTTTTAAACCATGTAAAACCGAAATCGTGTAAAACGAGTACCGTGTAATTCGAGGAATAGGTGTAGATTATTTAGGCAGATAATGAGCAGTTTCAGTATCCATCTTTGATAACTATTATTCAGAAATTTAAGTTTAAAATTATTCTGAAGCAGCATCAATATTTCTAACAAGAAATTACATATGTAAAAGTGAGAAAATTTTTAAATACTGTTCTGAATTTCAGCAAATCCATTCACAGATCGATATAATATTTTCTAAATTAAAAAGGGATGGGGATGAGAGGGATTTACCTATCTTTGATATTATAAAAGTTCAACTGATCAGTATAATGTAAAATTTTAAAAGTTACTTTATTTGGATAGCTTGACAATTTGTAACAAATGTTATTTTATACTAAAAAACTCTTATAAATAAAATAGTATTCTGACAAGCTGTAATAAGTCAACTGAAAAAGTTTTAATTCCATATTTTGTGCACATAATCATCTGCATTCAAAATCATGAAATATGAAATAATTTGTAACAAAAATTTGTACGTGATTTTGTGACTGCAAGCCTCTCTGCATATTTCTTTATTTAATTTTCTTCAAATAGTTATATATATTTTTAATATTTTTTATATTCAGTTTTAGACTTAAAAAAATGAAATTCTATTCAAGCTGTGTTTTAGTTTTATTCACCAGTAAAAATTTAGTTTTATGAGCTGGTAAGAGCAGATACTTTTATTTAAAAAGAAAAATTAAATACGTGTACAATATTTTACATTATTTTTTTTATTTTATAAGTTCTTACTAACATCAAAAATTTTCAGACTGCATTTCCTTTCCCCCTCAAATTCACTATAAATAATACCACCATAAATTTTAAGTACTTAAATAATATCCAAATGGCTGTCAATAAAACATTTGGTCTCTTTGCACAAGACCAAATAGCCACTGTTGCATAAGTACTTTTTTTGCTTTTTATGCTTTGCAAAAACGCTTTTGTTGATTTCTAATATTCTAGATAATATTCTTTTAACCAGAACCTCCTAGTTTACTGGAAGTTCTACACAGAATACTGTAAGTACAAACTTCCTCATGTAATTGTTTCAATCTATTACTGTTTCATCGACCATATCCAGTTGTTCTATTCCTCATTGAATTAAACGAATTATCTCAACCATCTGCAAATGAACTGGAGTGCAGTCACGTACATAGTTCTACAACCCTTGCATTGCATTTCTATTCAAATGGATAATTCTTGTCACAAATTTTCATACTGCATTCCCACTATTTATCTGTGGTTACATCAAATGACAATGCAGATGTTATGAGTGCTTTGTGACATCACACTTATCCATAACTGGCACTAAATTATGCTGCTTGGAAAACAGTTTGACGGTCAGCGAGATAATACATAAGTACCAAAATTCATTACCAGTCAAGGATATATTCCGTGCATTTTTTATTTCTAAATTATCAGCACACTTCTCTTTACTACTGTCCTTTACTTCAAACCTATTAAATAGGCTGCTCTTTATTATTATTATCATCATCATCATCATCATTATAGGACAAAATCAATTTAATATGGATTATGAAAACAACCATTTAAACAGCACAACAAGCTATATCACAATGATGTTACGTAAAATTTTCTCTTAGGAAGTAAAGTACATTTTTTCACATAGAAATTAGATTACTTTAATAGAAAATTATACTCTTATAAATTGGATTTTTATGTTCTCTGAAGCAACACTGTATATGCATTAGTATTAACTTCAACTACAAAAATTACTAGTTAAATTTTAAAACAAAACTAACCAAATGCAAGCCAAGTTTTCCGTAATGCCAGATAACTTTTGACATCCAAAGTCAATCTGAAATTTCCCTCAGAGCCTGGTGTATCTTTTAGTTGCACATATCTAGTACTACTATAATAGCATGCTGGAACAGAAAAAAAAAAAAAAAAAAAAAAAATAGAGACATAATGAGACATTCTAATTCACTTAGAAGATAATCTAAGTGCTTTTTAATCTGTCAAACACTTTGAAATTGTGTTTACTATACATGTTTCAAAAGAAAAAATAGAAAATATAAAAGTAAATGAAAACCATATATGTTGCTTAAATGTTTAAAAAAAAAAAAAAAAAAAAAAAGTTTTAAGAAAAATATGAACTTGAAAGGTTTAAAGAATATGATATTTTATGAAAATAAGAAAAATGTGATTACTTTTTATGACACATGTTTCAGATCAATATTATTAATAGAATACCAAATTTTATTACAAAAATTTCTATTTCAGAATCATTAGTTTATGTAACTCTTCATTTTGTATCTTTCAATGAAAATTCCAAAGAAAAGAATATATGCTGAAACAATTAGTATATAAATGTCATTACATAATAATTCCTCTAGGTTTAGCTGGTGTTATATCAAATTTAATAATCTGATCATCCTTAATAATCTCAATACTCTATAACAATTAGAAACTAAAACATGAGAATCTAAATTAATGCAAGAAAGTATGTGATCAATGAGGACTCTTGCTTCCTAGTACTGAGAAAAATTTTGTTTATTCATAAATTTATCTTAACATGACTCGGAATCATAAATTAATTAACATATAGCTTTGGCAGAGGACCTTGTGATCCTAACTCTCCCTTGAAATCTGTTACAAATTCTAAAATTTTTTCCTGGATACAAATGGGGGATTTTCTACCCAGCATCATTACTCACAAATTTTAAACTCTACCCTCACATTTTAACTCTACTGAGAACTCCCTGAAATGTTTGCAAAGTCTTCCAAGACATAAAAATAGGAATGAATTGACCAAAAATGCACATTTCCGTGCATTGATATTTCAGCTAGCCAAGTTTCATTATTCTGCTTATTTGCAGCAACCAGTTATACAAAGTAGAACAGGTGAAGAACATCTGGAGAATTTTCTCTTAGCAGGGTCACCTAACATGTTAAATTTACGCTTTTAGACTCAGCAACAGCAAGATGTAGAATCAAATTTCTGCCCTTTGATGCCTCAGATCTTTTAATTTTTTAAGTTGCACCCTTTTTCTGTTTACTATGATTCAAATGCCTTTGTATTCAAATCATGCATATTCATTATACCCAGGGTACTCAACCCAGTGCCCGAGGTGACCTTACATAGCGCTCGCCAAGCTTGGTTATTTTTTTCCCCCTGCAACAGTCTTTCTTGAGATTACATATAGAGGGGTTTTGGCGGAGTAGCAGTCAGAACCTTGGTTGGCCTTGTCTTGAGTTTCGGAAACGTCAAGGGTGATGGCGTGTCTTAACTTGATCCTTCTTATCCCCTCTGTCTGATTTAAAATGACTATGCTAACTAAATGACAACGCGAACACGTGCCTCAAGCCTGTAAGGCCCGGCTGCCCAATTTCTGAAAAAACAAAATGGACAGATAAATTCTGGAAATGCCTGTGAATGGCATGTACATGATCTTGAATGCAGCTACTGAGAAGGTGGGGAAATTTTACCGAAAGGTGTATTTTCTGTATTATGTTTTTGTAATGACCGGGCCTGGCTCCCAGGACGTACGTCCTCATGTGTTAATAGGATGATAAAGTCTTAAGATTGGAAGCACAATATCACAAGTTTCACCAAACCAAAAAGGGCTGACAAAGAGTGACAAAAGTAGAGGGAACTGCAGGTCAGTGTCAACCCTTGATTTGACTATATAATACATTTATATTTAACAAGGCGTAAAGGACAACCTTTGAACCACTTTCTTTACCAGTCTTCTTTAAAGCTTTTGGCAGTGACAGTGTTCGTGGTGCACTCAGTCTTGTTCGGCATCCTCATTTTGTGTCGGAGCTTAGCCATTTGGGTTTTTTTTACCGCTGCAGCATGAGTGGACCCAGCAAAAGGCAGAAGATATACAATTACAATTCCAACTTTCCAGTATTGCTTTGTTGTCGTGAAAGGAAAGTGCATGTGTTTGCTGTGTGGTGCTTCTGTAGCATTCGCCAAGAACATCAATGGAAGTGGAATGTCACTTTCAGGCGAATCATGGAACATCTGAAATGAACTACCTGGAGGGTTCGGAAATTAGAAAGAAAGTATGTGAGCTGAAATTGAAGCTCTCAACGCAGCAATCAGTATTTGTTAGGCCAGTTTCAAAGTCCAAAAATGCAACAATGGCTTCGTTTAAAATTGCTCACTTGCTGGCGAAGAAGATAAAACCATTTCAAGACAGTGAGTTGCTGTAGGAAGCATTTCTTGCAGGTACCAAAAGCCTCTTTGACGGATTCTCAACAAGCGTGAAATCATCAATGCGATTCAGGACCTTCAATCATCAGATAGCACTACTTTAAGGAGAATAGAAGCAATTGCCGATGGCACGTAATCTCAAAAAGAAGAGAGACTTGGAAACATGTGAACAGTTTTCTCTCCAATTTGAAGAGTCCACGAATATTCCCGACATGTCGCAGTTAGCTGTTATGATTGGAATGGTATTTAACAGCTTTTTTATTAAAGAAGAATTATTAAAAATTCTGCTTTGAAGATCATAACATGAGGAGAGGACATTTACAATGTTTTTAAGGCGTTTACGGCAGAAATTAGCTTGTTGCTTAAAAAGATATCGCCAATTACCGCAGACAGAGCACCTGCCATGACAGGAAGAACCAACAGCTTTTTGTCGCTTTATGCAATAAAGATGAGCGTTTTCCAAACTTCATTGTCTTATCACTGCATCATTCATCAAGAAGCATTGTGCGCAAAGGTACTTCCATTTTAACACATCATCAATGTTGTCATGTTGATTATAAATTCTATTCGCGCGGCTCCTTTGCAACACTGGCTTTTTAGAGCACTGCTGGAAGACTCCTCATCTTGAATGCAGAAGTCCAATGGCTCAGCAGAGGTAAAGTTCTATCAAGGTTTTTATCTCTAATAGAGCAAATAAAAAGTTTATGCAATCTAACCCTGACAAATTCAGTAAACACATGGAAAAACTAAGTGACTTTTTGTGGCTACTTGATCTGGCTTTCCTCGATGATATCACTGAGAAACTCAACATTTTAAATCTGGATCTTCAGGGTAAAGACAAGGAGCTGGCTCAAATGATGGGATCTGTGAAAGCTTTCAAAGCTTAATTGACATTATAGATGTCTCAAATGAGATCAAAGTCCCTGGTTCATTTTCCAAACAGGAACAAAATAGCAAATGATGACAATTTTGGGTTCTTGCAATTTGTGGGTCATCTCAAGATGCTTCTGGACCAATTTGGAAAATGATTTCAAGATTTCAGCTGCCTAGAGACAGTGGTGAACTTTTTTGTCAACCCATTCACCATTCACCACAAAGCAACTGAAACCACCAGAGCAATTGCAAGAATTATTGCTGCAGAAATGGAAAATCTCAAGCTGGAAATAGTTGAACTGAAGAATGATATTATCCTGCAAGCACATGCCACAGATTTAGACTTCTGGAAACCTGTGGAAAAGAACAGGTTTCCATTATTAAGAAGTGTTGCACATAAAATGAAATCTTGTTTTGGGTCTACCTACCTCTCCAATATCTATTTTCAACCACGAATATTATCAATGTTGATGGACGAAATTCAGTGTCAAAAATCGCATTAAGTGCAACACCATAAACAGAAGAGACACGACTATATTGTAAATAATAAAAACTTCATGCATGAAACGTATATTTTGTTTCTATCTCGATCCATTTTTTCGATCTTCTTTATGACAGTACTTTTTTTCTTGCAGGCTAGCATTAACTAGTAACATTATAATATGGCCCAAGGGATGGCCTGAATATCACCCGGGACGGAAATGTTGTGTGGTGCCCCCTTCGCTTTCTGAAACTGCCTTGTGTTGCCCAGGACCAAAAAAAGTTGAGTACCACTACATTACACAGATTATTTAAGTACACACTGAAAATACTGATATATAATACTGCTTAAAAATGAATTCCCTTTAAATGAAAATAATTAAAATATTGCAATGCAATATAAATAGCCATCCTCTAGTATTACAAATAATATACTAGATAAAATTACAATAAAATTAGTCTTCTAGCTAGCTTTTCTAAAAAGCTTTTCTAGTTTAGCTTGCTTTTCTAAAAATAGTTGCGAACTTAGTTCCAAGTTTATGCTGTGAAAATTAGCTCTCTAGTCAGTGTTAGACACCTATTTATACGGAAATACCTATTTATACGGATATTTCTAAGCTCGACTTCTGCTGTTTGTAGCCAATTTAGCATTTAGTTAAGCTAAGGAGCGTCGTTTATCATCTTAATTTATTATGAATTTGTTACATTCTTAATTTCTGTTAAATTTACGTTAACCACAAGCAGTGGTGATTTGTGAGCACCAAGTTCGTGCATCTCTTTTAATTTAGTTTAAACAAAAAGGTTATTTGAAATCCTCCACTGCAGTATTTATTCTCAAAAGACATAGTATTTGTTACTTCGTTATCTACCTAGAGTCTACAGTGAATGCTACTAAAGAGAACCCATAGACTCTATACTATAAGACAAGGCGGTGACAGCAGAGAAATTTTGTTCAACATTTTATAATATCATTTGTAGTAGAATGATGCAACTAAAATCCAATAGTAAAAATTAAAGACAGACACTTTAATGAACAATTTCATAACTTTCAGTAAATTTTGAAAATTACAATACAGTGAGTTCAAAAACAGTTACAGGCCTTTTAATTAAATAATGATCTTAGATAAGTAGACTGTACTTAATTATATAATGATCTTGGAAAAATAGACTGTATTTAATTTTAAATAAGGATTTTATTAATAATTTTTAATAAGGATTTATTTTTATTTAAATAAGGATTTTATATAATTAGGCTTTATTTAATTAAATTATAATCTTAAATAAGTATCTCTTGTCATAAGTTTCTTTAAAAGAGTTTCAGTAAAAATTATAGATGAGTATTGAAAATACAAATTTTAACTTTTCATATGCTCCCCAAACAGCATAATGTCAATGCTTAGTTTAATAAAGTAAATACAAATAGCTTTTTATACCATTATGTGAAAAATTCATGGAGACACCAATAATCAACAGACTCATAGGGCCAATTATAATGGTATCAAGAGTATTATTCAATACAGATATCATTAATTGCCCCCTTCCCCCCAAAAAAGCAACTTTTTGGTTTAGTTTCTTGCTAAATCTATTACAATTGCATAATTTTGTTCTTCAAAATCTTTACGAAGTTTGTAGGTGATTTTTTTTTATTCAACTTACCAAAGCATAAACATTTGCTGATGGACTATTTGCATATATGGAGCCATAAAAAACACTAGGTTTTTTTTTTTTTTTTTTTTTACAGAATCTTTTTTACTCAATGCTGAAATTGTTCTCATAAATGTTTTTCTATAGTTTGAGAAAATCTGCGATAGGTATCACATATCTGCGATCAACATATCTGTATCACATACCTGTGATTTAAAAAAATAAAGCATATAGCCTTCTTTTCTGAACACAATAACTACTCAAACATTTAAAATTTCTTTTAGGAGTTCTCAAAATGTAACTTAACTATTTCAAAAACATATACTTCTCTGTTTTCACCGAATTTTTCAGATCACTTTCATTCAATTTTAAAAAATTATTTTAATAATTATAAAACACAATTTTTAATTACTAAATACAATATTAGATTTCTCTCTGCAATATGTCAAACACAAACAAAAAAAGACACCAACAATCAGTTTAACACAAGAGATTATCTGTGCATGAAAACTATGCAGCATTCAAAGCCACTTAATCTTGTATCATTATTAAACCCTTCAAGTTCAGAGAATTTTATCACATCCACAGAATAAAATGAGGTAGCTGTGAAAAGGCTTTTCTGAAATGTCAGCTAAAATACAGTTGAAAAATTAGAGAGAGAGAGAGAGAGAGAAAAAAGGGTCTCACAAAGCATTTACATCATTATTCATAAAAATAAAGACTAGTTTAAATAATTAAATTTAATAAAATGTTATGTGCAACTTTCTCTATTACAACAATTAATAATGACTAACTTTAAAAATTGCCTTAACAAGCCCTTTTTTAACAACAATATCTAGAAAAAAAAAAACACTAGATAAGGATAAATGACTACAAATATTACACCTTGAAATATAAAAGTGAAATAACTAGCAAATCTAAAATTAAATCAATAATTTTCCAATTCAATTTAAGTGAATGAGTACAGTCTGTATTCAGTAATTCCGTTCATACAAAATTAAACTTGAATAATGTATTTTTATACCTCAAGCAACTGAATTTGCTATAATAATAAGCAATTTTCTTACACATATCAAATGCAGAAAATGCAAGAACTAATATGATGCTCAGCCATATCATCGGTGCAGCTATCCATCGCATAAGAATAATCCAAATCAAAGATATCACCATACTTATTAGAAGGCCACTAAAAATAAAGAAACATTTTTTTAAAAAATAAATATAAGAAAACATTCAATATTTATTAAATGCTGCATTTTATGATAGCTGGGGCAATGTCATGTTTACTGATGAGTCAAGATTTGCTCTGGAGCCAGATGACAAGCGTATAAGGATATGGCGTGAATAGCGAACACACAATCAGTCCCAAAAATCACCGAGCATCACGCATTCCGAGGCGGAAGCATTATGGTGTGGGCAGGGATTTCATTAGGATACTGCACCGACCTGCGCATCAAGTCCTAAACCCATTGTGAGATTGTACGCTGCAGTAGTTGGCCCTACTTTTTTTTAATGGATAACACACATCCCCATAGAGCTGACACCGTCGATGGCTACCTGGAGAGTGAAGGGGTTGCGCGTATGGCGTGGCCAGCATATTTGCCCGACCTTAATCCCACTGAAAATCTTTAGGATGCTCTCAGCCGTGCTGTATCTTCACGTTTCCCAACTCCAGCCACTCTCATTGAGCTGGAAACTGCTCTACAAGAAGAATGGCGATTGCTTAATTCTGTGGTGGTTGAACACTTAATTGAAAGCAAGGTCACAAGGTGTAAATTTTGTATACAGATGAGGGGGGTCACTATGCTGTTTATTTTCACTTTAGACATAATTCTGTTTAAGTCTCCAGTACGTCATTATCTGATAACTTACAAAAATTTAATATTTTTTCCTTTCTGTATATAATTATTGATTTTGTTTTATGCATACATATATATGCTTTCCTACTGAATTTTGTGTCAATCAATGCAGTATTTGTTGATTTTTTTGCATTTTATATCTTCGTGCTTAACTTTTAGAAGTGAGTGTATATATAGATCTTTTGAGCTTTTATAAATACATATGTATGAAAGAATTATAAAAGTATTTCAAATATCTAAAAATAGAAGAAGTAGTTTTTAATTATTCTCTACAATATGAAAATGTGTCATACTTTCTTATAAAAAAGAAGAAAGCTTATGCTACTTTGTACTGAATCTGAATAAATCAAAGTGTAAAGATGATTGTAGTGTACTCTTGCATTTCTAAGTTATAACTTATTTTGAGGTCACCCTTTAAAATTTTCTCCTCTTTTCACTCTGGAAATTTTTCAAAGACACCTTGCACTCATTCCTCCATACCACATTACAAAAACTTCAGGAGAAAACATTTTTTTCCCCTGAATGGCAAGCACTATTGTCTTTTTTTTTTTAAATTGGCCACTCCTAAGGCCAGAAGTGGTGGCCATTTTATTATGGAGGCACCTAATAGACGGCCACTGTTACCTCCTATGAAGGGACGAACAGTTACAACCATGCCTTCTCTGGGATTCGAACCCGGGCCCTTTGGTAACATAGTCAGCTGCTCTAATCACTATACCAACTGGACAGCTCAGAAGAAAATTACTACAGCTGTGCTTTGTACAGCACCGCAAAATTTATCATTGCTTTGATGAAAGTCACAATTCGAACCCGGGCCCTTTGGTAACATAGTCAGCTGCTCTAATCACTATACCAACTGGACAGCTCAGAAGAAAATTACTACAGCTGTGCTTTGTACAGCACCGCAAAATTTATCATTGCTTTGATGAAAGTCACAATTCATAAAAGATGAGCATAGCAACCTTTTAATTAAGTTATGCACAATAAATATTTGTTCTGCAATGTCAGTTTTTCGAGGAACTGAAATCTATTCCTCCTTTCTGCACATACTGTAAATAAGTTATTTTTAATACACGTCCATTTAATTCAAATCAAAAAATGTTTTGTCTTAAAATATTCACAAAACGAAACACAATTTCCATCCATTTCAACCATAATCAGAATCTGTGCTTTATTATTTTTAAAAAATTCATTACAAATCAGTTTTTTACAAATATACACTTAATGATTTTAAAATACTTAAAAATTAAAATTTCTGTTGCGAACATTTCAAGCAAGAATTATTACTAGTTAAAATCCAGTTTGCTTTAAAAATTAACATTTCTGTTGTGAACATTTCATGTAAGAATTATTTAATTTGCTTTAACACTTCTTGCTCAAAAAATAGTATGTAAACTAACAATACACTCTGTGGGCTAAAAGATTGTTACAATTAAAGTTATACTGCTGCTTTTGCTTTGTACAAAGAAGTCTATCAGCTACAACAATAAATTCCGGTTCAAATTCCATGTATAGCTTGGATTTTTATGGTTGTTGACTAGCATCAACAAATCTGTAAATCCAAAAATCATCACCTGAAAACAGTGGTATTTTTTTGGATAACCTTCACTAGACCAAAAAATTCCACTAAACTACTTTTGGTACTGCTTAATTTTTCTATCCATCTGAAGCTTACTGATCATTATTACTTTCAGGATATAGATACTAACTTCATAGTCTAGCAAAACATCTCAAATCACTTTCCCAATAAAGAAAGTTTGTGATAAATCCAAGTCATGTACATATGCTAAAATTTACAGATAATTGTTGTAATTTGGAATTCAACAAAAAAGTGAAACTTTAAAAAATAATAATTACCTGGACAGAAACCAGACGCATGCTCAAAAATGAATTTTAATATCTTATCAATAACCTACAACTTCTCTCGTGAATTTCAAAATTAAAACATTATTGATTGCCATAGAAAAAAGTACCTTATATATGATTAAAATGTGTAATATTGAAGTTTGTTAAACATAAATTATCTGAAAGGTAACATTATTATCTAATATGTTTATCATATTAACACTTATTTTAAAAAGGTGAATAAGTGTTAATATGAAAAAAAAAGTGAATAAGTGTTAATGAAGGAAAAAAATAATGACAACAAAAAGAGAAATCTATTGAGGAGGTGCATGTATTAGCCTACCAAACACTGAGGTGGGAGGAGTAAAGCTAGTAAGCGAGAAGTAACTCCCTATTGAAAATTGTTTATATGTTCTTAAATGCTTAATTTTCATGAAACAAAAAATATTGCACTCCTTAAAATGGTATAAATTATTATATGATATCTCATTTATGTCACAGCAGGCATCAGTGGTAGACCATGGCAAAATGTCCAACCTTGCATGAATGGGCTCAGCTACCACCCTGGTTATGAAGTATGGAGGTCTGTAATATAAGTACAGAGATGGTGGAAGTGCAAAAGGACCTCATGCCTAGGTAGATGCAAAAACCATATGGAACTGCCACTCAAAGCTAATGGACACAGGTTCTATACCAGATATTAGGAGATGCAGTCACCTCTCAAAATCATGGAAGGAAAAAAATATGCAAGTGATTCAAGAAATATTCACTTGAAATCCTCAGAGGTGACAAAGCCAAGACATCTCATGAAAAAGGAGTTAAACCCGACACACAATTTGAACTGTATCATAGCTCAACATACTCATGAAAGGCTGGATGTTGCACCATGGTTTCCTACTAGTGCTTGCAATGATACAGATGAGATATCATGTAATAAATTCAACCACTGTAAGGAACAAAATTTCCTGTTTTGTGAAAATTTGTTAAATACTTCAAAAGTTATAAACAATTTTCAATAGAAAGCCCACTCTGTAGTAGCATCACAAAACACTAGTAGCTTAGACCTGCTCTATTTAAAACAACAACAACAACAAAAAAAGGTTTATGTGGTTTAATTTAAAATTTTCTTAAGCTAAATACATCTAAATACGCATTTTTTTCACCCTGGCAAAAATATATAATTACAGATTGGAATGGCAACACTAACAATATACACAGGTTCATGAAAAGATTGGCAAATTTACTAAAACTATTAATAAATAAATGAGATAAATGCAGAAAATCATAAATAAGAACACACATGTCAAACATTTGAACAAGCTTTACTCTGTTATCCTTTTTTTTTTTTTTTTTTTTTTTTTTTTTTTTTTTTGTGACACTATCTTTCACTGCAACACCATGCAATTTCAATTTGTCTTTTCCTGAACAAAATCTTTCAGTATGAATGATGACTTTCCTTCAAAGAATTTAATTGTGGCTCTTCGCCATCTGACTCTAACTAAAACAAACTAAGGCTGATGGTATATATATATAAAGTGTTTCAACAAAACAAAAACTCAAAATGTTGAAAGGAAAGTTACTGAACCAATTTTTCTTCCCACTTATACATAATATCATTGCAGTGCATTGAGAAAGTAAATGGATTATCGTATTTGACAATTTGGCACAGAACTGCAAATGGCCCTATATCAAAGAAAAAATACCAATTTTATAATTGAAATTATGATTCGCTTGCTTAAAATAAGTAACAAAATACTCACATCACAATCAAATGCCAAGATGTTTTAAAGTCTGAAAAAATCTTTATCCCAACTTCTGATACACTTACAAACCGTGCTAAACGCCTGAAATTGTTCAAATTCAAATTATGTATCTTGAACATACAAGTACATATATTAAAGATAAAGTCACAGTTATCTGAAGAAAATGACACATTATCTTAATAAAATTATTCAAAACATTTCAAGAATAATCAAATGATAAAAATTGTGCAATACTATTCATGAAAATAATCTTTAGTAATACGACAAGTGACAAACTTCAATTTAATACTTCTATCATACTTCCCAGTTTGAATAATCAAATCTGTATGCACATCAGTAGAGGGGAAATAATAATTTAACTATTAAACATTCAGTTTATCATTGCAAAAGAATTATATCAGACAATATTTTATATTTTAAGATGTCACACAGCTAAATTCATGTTGCAATCTATTAAGCTTAATCATCTAAGTGGTTTTTTTTTTTTTTTTTTTTTTTCCTAATTGCTAATATTTCATGATTAATTTCAATAAGGAATAAAATATTGTGGTTTAAATATTTTATTTCTGTTTCAGATATCATCATCTGAACACTTATATCTCTTAATGAATCTAATTCTTTTCTTATTCTGCAGAACAGTGAAATCAGTGTTATTAAGATCAGTATTATTTAAATCCCTGTGATTTGAAACATATTTATCACAGACACCGTGTCAAAACTAAAAATCAGCAAAATTATTAAGTAAAATGTGTTTAATCATTAATTAGTCATATTAAATATAAATCATGTAAATGGATATAGAGCTACAATCTCCAAATTTTTCTTATTGCAGACCCTTAAGATGACTTGTGAGCCTACTTCTTTGGCGTACCCCCCAAGTATCCCTTCCCATAATCCCCTTTGGAAACCTTTAACATACAGCATCTAGTATGTTATTCTGTTAACTACAAAAAAGCAATAATTTTAACAATAAAACTGCCCCAGTATAAAGTTTCACATCTCTAATATATTAAACAAAATACCAGTCAGAATAAATACTTTTAGGACATACGAATACAGAATAAAAGAAAAACACATACTTAAGACAAAATTTTATGATTTTTATAGCCTGTTTCACAATAATATAAAACATTAAACCATTAATGAAGTATTTATTATACTGTTTTATAAATCTAAAGAAGCGGTGTACAAGTACAGTATGTTACAGAATTCACTGAGACTCATTGGATTTACCAAAGTTTTAAAATGATTTATATTTGGTAATTCAATTTATGCTCATTTGCAATAATTATGTATCCAGGTAAGTAGAAAATTATAGAGAATAATTAAATCATGACATCTATTGCTAGGATAAAATGAAAAAATTATGTAAAAGATATAGCCAATATGCCTTGTTACAAAATGAGAGTTAAAGATTAGGTACTCTGGGAAAAATCAAGTTATGACTTCTACATAGCTTTGATACACCAGCAAGTATATGTGATTAATAAAGACTTTAGCCTCCAAAAAGGCATGCATATTGTCATCAGAATCTTTAAAGATGGTAAAATACAAAATCCATCAATTTGAAAACGTCTGAAAGGATTTGTTAAGGGCAAACCAACCCACACTTGTACCTGGAGCAGTGAAGACGCATGAAAAGGAATGAAAAAACATGTAATTTCTTTAGTAACAGCGAAAATGAACAAAAATGGTTTGATGGTTTATCTTAAGTGCATGTATGTGTGCGTATTATCCAAATGTGAGCCAGTTTACCTAAAAAAAACTTTCATAAAGGGCTTTCTCCCTACAGATAGACAATTATGTATACTTCATCATTATTAAATAATCCAATCTAAGGTGTCACAGAAAATTTATTTTTCATCTTCTTCATAAATGTGTTGCTTATTTATAATATAAATATACACTGATGGGGGGAAATTCCAACACCAAGAAGTTGCGCTAGATAAACGAAATTTGGTAGGCATGTTTTACACCTGAAAGATGGTGTCAATTCAAAGGTCGCTAAGTGCGTAAGTGTGGCACTAGTAGCACCACTGTGAACATGCAAATCAGGTTTGCTTTAAATACTTGTTATAAATTTCGTGAACATTATTTATCGATGAGATCTGGTGTAGTGTGTTGATGTAAGTCAGGAATGCCTTTAAAAAGATGAAAAAACCATTATCAGCAGCTCAATGAGTTTGAATGAGGTCGTGAAATAGAGCTATGAAGGTGGATTTTGTTTCTGTGATATTGCAGAAAGACCTGGCAGGAATGTATCTACTGTGCATGATTGTTGGCAACAGTGGTAAAGGGAAGGTACTGGCTCAAGAAAACCAGATTCCGAGTGGCCACATGGAAGACCGCTATGTTCAGCACATGGCTGTGGCACATCCTACTGCATCTGCAGCAGAAATTCTAGCTGCAGTTGGCACCACAATGACACAACGAACTATTATAAATCAATTATTTGAAAGACAGCTAAAAGCCAGACACCCTGTAGTGTGCATTCTACTGGCTGCAAACCACTGCCATTTGTGACATCTTTGGCATCAAGCTAGAGCTCATTGGAGGACAGGGTGGAGATTTGTTGTGTTTTCTGATGAAAACCAATTTTCTGCTGTGGTGCCAATGATGGCTGTGTGTTGGTTAGAAGAAGGAGGCCAGCTGAGCGCCTGCAACCACCCTGCCTGTGGCCTAGATACACTGGACCTACACCTGGAGTTATGGTCTGGGGAGAAATTTCATATGACATCAAAAGCACTCTTGTAGTTAGTTATTCCATGCACACTGACTGCAAATTTGTACATCAGTCTGGTGATTTAACTTGTTCTGCTGAAATTCATAAACAGCATTCAACGTAATTTTTCCAACTGGATAACACTCGCTGTCATACTGTTATTGTAACCCAACATACTTTACAGAGTGTCGACATGTTGCTTTGGCCTACTAGATCGCAAGATCTTTCTCCAGTTGAGCATGTATGGGATATCATTGGATGACAACATCAGCGTCGTCCATAACCAACATTAACCGTCCCTGTATTGATCGGCCAAGTACAATTGGCATAGAACTCCATCCCACAAACTGACATCAGCATCTGTGCACATTTGCATGTTTGTATTAAAAATTCTGGTGGTTAACACCGGTTAAAGTACCACCATTTCACATTTGAAATGGCTCTTCTCGGACTTGTATTAACCTGTGATCTTGAAAATCGTCACAAAATCCATTAGTTGAAAAATGTTACCTAATGGATTTTGTACCTTTGGTTTGCGATATCCAAAACCCTTCTAATTTGTGGCTGTCATCTTCACCATCCTCACCATGAAATATGGCGATAAATTATGCAAAGCATTTTTCACAGTATATGGAGATGGAGACACATCCTCCTACAATCTTGCAAAATATTTCAAAAGTTCTTAAATAGCCTTGCCATTTTTCAAGAAATTTAACATACATTTTAAAAATTCTACTTTACATTTACATTTCAGCACATGTGCTATTCCAATAGACATAGGCTGAATGACGTACACATCATTTGGAGGAAAGGATAATACGGATATGGATCTTTCACTAAAACTAAGTGAATTATAAGCCAAACAGTTGTCTACAATCAAAAGAGTTTTTACGTCATCAGGTAAGCCATCCGAATTCAAATGTTGCCGAATCTCAAGTAAAATGATTTTCAAACCAATCATTAATTAATGCTTGTGTCATGTATGATCATTTATTTTATGCGAAAAGTCTTTACTACTTTAAATGCTTGAGGCATGTATTTTTTCCAATAACGAAACGTGTCAAACACTTGTGCATTCCTGCAGCATTTGCGCATGCTAAAATTGTTACTCTTTATTTGGAATCCTTGACACCAGAAGCTTTTTCTGTAGAGATTGCCACAGTATTTTGCATTACCGTATTGCCAGAAAAGACCAGTTTCATCAGCACTGTAAATTTGATCTGGAGGTAACTTTTCACTCTTAATGAGTTCAATGAATTTATCTGCAAACAATTCAGCAGCTGAAGCTTTTTCACCTGAAATTTTTTATTACATTATACTATGGTGATTTTAAAATTTGGTTAACCAATCTGTTGAATATGTGCACTTAGTTTTTCCATTAGCATTGGACCCGTCAATGGCACGCCCTCACTGAGATGCTCTCTGACCCATTCAATCATCATTTTATGATGATCGCCACTTTTAGAATAATGAATAATTTTTCTGTTAATTCATAGCAAGTGGGGTGTCAGAATCCTCAAAAGTTCCTTTTTCTTATGTCATATACAGTTGACTTCCCAATGCCATACTCCTTGCATAATTTGGAGATGGATATACCTTTATCCTTTTTTTTTCCAGCAATTCCACTTTTTTATTTAATGGGCATTGAAACATGCTTTCACTTTGTAGATCATGTTGCAGCTTCAGAATTAGAAATGCTTTTCGATATCAAAAGTTCAAACTTTAATTTTCATAAAACTGCTGTAATCAACAGCCTGCAAAAAATAAGCTGAATCAGATCAGAAAGTCAGAAGAACACAATCTGCTGTATTAACTGAAATTCATTGGAAACAGTAAAGTATAATTTGAGCCTAGCTTAATAGCATTTCGTATATGTCATTTGCTATATATCATGAGACTGGCAACAAAAGGCAAGTTGTTTCACTAAATTTTGTCTTGCTTTAAGGTCCAGATTTTAGATCATTCTGGGTACTGGACTTTATACTGTAATAACAGAATTTAGAGCGGTACTGTATAAATAACAAAGATGGTGCTGATGATGAATATTTTAAGCACTATATAGCTTCTGGATGTTATTCTTTTATTTGTAGTGCTATTAAACAGAATTGAAATAAAGTGTGTTAAACACATTGAATGTTGCATAGATTTCGCATAATTATAGCACTAAAGAAATGGCAGATGACATGGTCGCAAAATGAAAGTAAGCATTAGAAAAGAAAAGATTACATTATTGATATTTGATGGTGAATTTGCTTTCTTTTTTAATACAGGGACATAAGACACAATATTACCACTGGTTTATAAAGTTTCTGTTTAAACACTAACAAATAATTTACTTACATTTTGCCACAACTTAAATAAATGCTTTACATGAATAATATAAGAAATGTTTGAAAGCCATTAATTTCCTGACATACTTCAGAAAGATGTGTTTTATTATTTATTTATTTATTTTATTGGAAACATAACCAAATTAAAATGAAGAATTTAAAAGCCGTTAGAAATGCACCTTACATACATGCATTCTAACCTTGCAAATAATTTCTGTCTCTTTCTAGGAATTTATTCTGTTTATCAAATCACTTACTTTTGATTAATCGTGAGGATCACAAATTAATTTTTATCTAATGAGTGAGCCTCATAGAATATGCATCTCTAATTTGGCCCATGCAAAACACAGAAAAACCTGGAAAGTTTATTCAAGTGAAAATACCCAAAAAAAATATATACATTCATGAATTTGGCAGTGCTGTGATGACATCAAACAGTTTGGTCTATCCACTAAAAGGTAACAATTTGAAGGATTACCTTCAGTATCTAATATAATTTTGTAAAATTTGAAAACAAATAAAAGCTCACTAATTACTTTAAGCTTCATTTGAAAATTAATTTTAGTCACTGTAAATTTAATTTACTCAATGTAAACGATGAAATTTTATTCATGATAAAATTTATCTTACTCAATGCAAATACGACTTTCCAATGTATATAAAATGAACAATAATTTCAGTATAATGAAAAATTTTATGTAAGACAATGAAAACCTATATGCAGCTGAGTAATATAAAACTACAGAGACATACTGAGTAGCATTTTTCAAATGGTCAACTTCTATCGGTTTACCATCTTCAAGAACCGTTTGGTTTTTTTCATCCGTAACCAACCCACTGACTCCTTTGAAAACAATTTCTGGAATACATCTTCCAAGCACTGAAATATATTACAACTAATAAAATAAATAATGCATATAATGAAGAAAGGTATAATTTTAATATTAATTAAAAGTTTTCAACAAAATAGTAAAAATAAAACATAAAAACTATGTGACAGTTTTTTAAAAAAATATCTAAAACATGCTTAACCCTCCGAGCAGTACGAGTTTAGCCCTGAAATTTCAAAGTTTCTCAAAATGTTATGAATAAGTTGTATTTTCTTTATTTTAATTTAAAAAATGAATCTCTCATTTTGTACCCCGATTCCTTTTTTTCCAATATACATCCAAACCAAAATCAAATACATTAAAAGCTAGCAGAAATTTTCATTTGTAATGAATATAGAAGGCAGTCTTCTATACGGAACTTTCCGGTTGTAATGCTGAGAGGGTTAACACTAAATTGATTTTCTGTAAGAATTTGCATCAAGAATTTCAGTTCAGTATTTATACAGAAATTGCCCAAAATGTAGGTATTTTTAGTTTTGCTACTGATATTTCAATCATTTATTATATCACAAAAATAATACAAAACTGAAGTTAAATTATTTATGTTAAGATATGTATGAATTTGGTTAGTAACTAGGTAAAAATCAATTTTAGATTGCTTGACCTTTGAGGAAACGAGACACAAAATTCCTCTCCTTTAACAGGTTAAAAATTTGGTTTCAAAAGGTTTACTAAATTTGTATTACTTATTTTATCACCCTTTAAAAAAAAAAAAAAAAAAAAAAAAAAAAAAAAACTACATTTCTCTAAAAATTATAGAATAAATTAGAAGGAAAACACAGGTCCCTTCTCTCTTAAGAAAACACTGTTTTGAACTGAAACAATACATTCAAGAATATATACACATATACACACCTTATACACTACCATATTTTGCCATATTTGCTTGTCAATTAACTATCCATTAATTGCATGGTTTAAGCCAATTTTGTTGTCTTGTGCAAATGCACATGTTGTACCAACCTTGAAACGAATTCACCAGGCAGTGTGCTACGTTAAACAACTCATCATGTCATGGAGAAGTATTATTGTGGCAACCCAGGCACATGCATATGCATAGAACACTGGTGCAGATTTCAGCTTTTCAAATTCAATGTTTCCTTTTTTCGTTAGTCCTTGCTCTGATTACTTTTTTTTCTTGTAAGGAATTGTAATAGGACTGCAGGAGTTTGCTACCTCATATAAAAGAAAGAGTTGCATTTCCTCAGAAATATGGCATTTTGAAGAACAATAGTTTGCATTCTGTGAAGTTGTACTTTGCAAACAATCCAGTCTGCCCACTGATGCCTCAATTTGTGATAATTTTCTGACTTTTTTTTTAAGTGAAAACAACAGTGTGCACAGTGCCAAGCTTATGCAACACTCTGGTATTTTTGTAAGCTAAATCAGATCATTGTGTTAGATGGGGAGAAAAAAGGTAATATAGTCAAAAGTCTTTAATCTGGACTCGTCGGGACTTCGGTGATTCCGGATTATAGATCATCAGTTTAAATCTGGTAAGATGGCATGCAGAAATTATAAAATTAAAAACATGAAACCGTAATTTATAAAATAATGAGCAATTATAATCTAAAGGGTATCAAAATTTACAAAAAAAAGCTTAATATTTATTTGTTTACTTTATTAAACATTTCTTTCAACGCGCGCATGCGTAAAGCATACATTATGCATAGCCGAAATTATAAAATTGCCACCAGAAAACTATTTGATTTGTATTTGTGATATTTATAATGACGAGGAATTTGATTTAAATCATATCAAAGACGGAGTACATCGAGATGAAGTACTACATTTAATAAGGAATTATAAGCCGAATAAAATAAAAACATCTGCCCTGAAGATAACGGATAGTGCAAACAGGCCAACAGATCAACTTCCAGTTCATTGCGCGTGTTGTGACTCCCCCTCCCCCCCCCGCAGAGCAGCGTGAAATTGATAAACAGATTTTGGAATGGTTAGAAAAACAAAGGATATGCCTCTATCCATTTTTTGCAGCAATTTCACTTTTTGTTTGATGGACATCGAAAACTACTTTCGTTTGTGGTTATGGAAACATGCTTTCGCTTTGCAGATCCTTCGGCAGCTCCAGAGCATCGGAAATTTCTATTTGACATAATCGAAAGTTCAAGCTTACTTTTATAAAATTGCTCTTACAGTCTACAAAAAATAATAAGCCGAATCCAATTCGAAGATTAAGGAACAACGCAATCATCAACATTAACTGAAATAGATAATTAGATAATTTTAGCTTATACCGTCCGTTATAAATTAAACGCGCACGCGAAAACGTATTCTGAGCATGCGCACACGCATATGTGCAGTCGTAAAGGTCTTACGCGCACCCGTAAACGCCTATGTGCATGCATCAACGCGCCGCATGCGCAGAAAGTTTTTAGCTTTGAGGTCCGGATTATGGGTGTCCGAATTAACGACTTTTGACTGTAGTTCTACTGTGAATGTTTCTAAGATTTTTGATTTTTCTAAGTGGTTGCTACTTTATCAGATTCTTAGTATGCCACCACTATTTTTGAAAATGTTGTCTTTTGTGTCTCAGATTGGTGAAACAATAGTCACCAATGAATAGTGACTTTTTGAGAAGCTTGGGGGGGGGAGAAATAATCAGAAAATACAATTTCTTTCCTCCCCAGGATTTGCACCAAAATTACAATATTTCCCATAAAAACCTAAGAATTTCTATATGAATTCAGATAATCAATTGCTAATGTTCTATAATTTTAAAAAGGAAACAATTATAGAAAACAAATAAAACTAGAACATTCTATTAATATAACTTTACTCTTTTAAAAATGTGTTCTTGTGCGATAAAATAAACAAATTATACCATACTACTATATAATTCAGGGTCTACCACTTTATAATAATTGAACAAATCTTTTTATAAGCCAAAATGGCACAAAGCAAGCAAATAACATTAACTTAGATCAAAATGAATGTTGAGTACAAGCCTTCATAGAAACTATCAAATCATACTGAATAAATAATATTTAAAAACAAAAAGCAATATTAAAAGAAAACAAATTATTATTTTTATTCTTATTGTTGTTGTATAAAATTAAGATAAAAATCAAAATTTGGTGGTTAAGTCTAAGAAAAAAAAGAACTTAATAACATAGTAAAAATAATATAATCTATACATATAAAGAAGAATGTCTGCGTGTTATGCTTGTAATTAAACTCCGTCACTACTATAACTATCATCACTAAACTTTATGCAATTATTTTTTGAGAAAAGTCAACTTCCCCCTTTAAAAAAAAAAAAAAGGCTAAAATAAGAGATATTAATTAAAAACTCTGTAAACGTTCATTTTCGTACTCATTTTTCCAAGTGGCAACAGTCAACACTGGAGATAAAAACGGCTTTTTTTTGAGGCCACTGCTCACATTGCCAAATACAATGAAAAAAAAATAGCATTGCCAAACATTAAATACATTATTCCTGATTCCAAAAATTTGTGGGAGGCCAATTCGACTTCGCCGAGGCTTCATATGACTTTAATCAGCCGACATAATTAAAAACTCAGAAAACACTAATTTTCACACTCATTTTCCTCGTGAACTCATTTTTTTCAACAGTCTCGTGCACTAGAGATAAAAATTCTTTATTTTGAAAAGTACTGCTACTACTCACTTTCAAATTATGGACTCTGTTAATAAAAATTTGTAAGTTTTACAAAACCTATATATATGTGTGTGTGTGTGAAATTTCGGCAGCCGTGGCACATGAACGACAAAGCTTGGCATTGTGGTGACTGAGTGTTAAGGCGGCATCATAAGACGACACAGGATTTCACTCTTTACAATTCCATATCTTTATTCATATCATGTTTTACTTCATATGAAATTTTCCAAATTACATATTCAATAGTGATTTAAACTAAGTATGAATGAATTTAAACTTTCTGCGTCATAACTAATTCTAACAAAAGGAAGGCAGATGAGAAGCGCAGTAGCTTAGATCCTAACAGCCGAGGAAGAGAAAAGCTTCTGTCCGCAAAATAGCGTGCATTCGTTATTTATAATAGCTGTTACGTAATAAGCTAGAATGTTCTCGAAGGTACTGGTCTAGGGGGGAAGATCCTAAATTGCAGAAAGTTAATTAGAGGTTGCCTGTTCCTTAGAGCAAAAGCCATTGTATTTTTTATATTTTACATATATATGCATATAAAGAATGCCTGTTTGTGTGCTTGCTTGTTTGCATTATTGATTTCTGATCAATTATGATCACTTTTTTGCCACATTTAATTGACTAAAACTGAATAAAGATCAAATATTGGATGGAACTTATCATTTGCATTCATAATCATTTGCTTAGAAAGAGAAAAATCATTAAAAACTGCATGCCATCCTTGCTGATATAATGAGAGAGAATTAGTTTATTTTTCTATTGAAATTCTTTATGTGGGTTCCATATTACATCAGATTGAAAAATGTACGACTATGAATTGTATTTTTTGCATCGTTATTAGAGAAGGATTACAGTGGTATCATTCTCTCTGTTGTTAGACACTCTAAATCTAACTTAGATGGCATCGGGTACTTCCACTAGTTAAATAATATAATAAAACACACAGTTGAAAATTCTTTGGTCTTTTTCAAAAAGCAAATGAAATGGCATCGGGTACTTCCACTAGTTAAATAATATAATAAAACACACAGTTGAAAATTCTTTGGTCTTTTTCAAAAAGCAAATGAAAAATTTTCAACAGAGTTTTTTACCTTTTTCAATTTTTTTAGTTTTAAATAAATAGAGATATAATCTGCTCAGAGATGACCCAAAGCAAAAAATACTATATTAAATTCTAAATTTTGATGTTCTTCCTGTTTCCACTCATATGACCCAAAGCAAAAATTGTCTACAGAGAAGCCTCAAAAGACAGCCTTAGAGAAATCACTTGCTATATCACAGCAGCCTCAATTCCACAACACAGACTTTTTAAAATCGAACTCTCTCTTTCAAACTCCAAAGATAAACCAAATATCAGGCACATCAAAACCGCAGGTCTCAGAGAACACCAAGAGGAAGCAAATTACAGACTCTGTGTTTTCTCGCTGTCATGCTAGCCCACTCTGATGGCCTAAGCCATAATCAACTGGAACAGCATAGGTTGCCCTTTCAGGTCATAGGAATCAGGTACATATTAATGGGCCCCCAAAGCTATTATTGTCATAGTAAAATACTAAGCCAGTGTTTGCAATCCCCGGGGAAAGGGAAATATATGAAATACAAAAATGCTATATTATTCGTTCAATTTGACACTTTTATTTTTTTAATCGTATAGTCTTTGCAGGTAATCATAACATCTCGCAAAAATTCTTGCTAAACCGATATGTTCTTAATTCAAATCAAAATTTTGTGCAGTTACTGTGGAAAACAAAAGGTGAATGTTACTTTCATTTGTTTTGCAAAAAAAAAAAAAAAAAAAAACTTGTTATATGTTTTCATTAACTGAAAAAAGTACTAATGCAAGGTCTTCTACGAAAGTGAAAAACCATAAAGCAAATATCCATAAAGCTGATGACATCTATACTTACATTTAAAGTAGAAAAAACCCTATTACATGCTTATGCCTATTTAAAATAGAGAAAACTCTCTTGCATGTTTATGCTTTCATATGTAGTTATTCTTTGTGATAGCATCCTTCAGGAAATCCATCTGCCAATATATGCATTTTAAATATCTTTTGGATTTTTTTTTTTTCTTTTTTCAAAAATATATTCACAATATTTCTACCGGTTTCCAGAAAACTCCACTGTTATCAGAAGTTTCTCACCTAATTGAACCGTCATCATAAGTTACAATGCTCTTATGTACATATGCAGTTATTTTACATAAAGAACTTTTCAAATTTAAATACCAAATTAAATATTTATCTCCCCACCTATACAATAGCTCCTTTTACTTCACTACAATCAGATCTTTTTTTATGCTACAGGAATGGACAGATTTCCTCCATTCTCACAGAAACTAACTGTGATAACTTCACTTTTTCTTCTTTTTTAATTATTCCATTTAAGTTATATTATGAAACAAATTTAAGCCATTTCAATTTTATAAGAAAGTGTCCAGAAATTATTTTAATTTTCTTACAAATAAAACAATCTGAAAAAACTTACCAGAATCCCAGAAAATAAGATAATAGATTCTTAGGAAAGAAAAGCCTAATCGCAAGATTCTAAAAAAAATTACACAATATCCAGTAAACAATTTAGCTGCAGTATCTATGACGAACTACACTTCAAGAATGTAAGAAGAATCTTTTAAGATGGTTAAATTTTTAACAAAGGAATCTTTCAACCTTAAATTCTAGAACTCATCTGGTGGGGGGGTGACTTTACATATTTCTAAAAGGATGAATGATATCAGATAAAAAAATTTCTTGAATCTCTATCAAACACCAGAAGAAAAAAATTATTAATGCATAATCCTAAAGACAAATTTGGCAGCTATTTTGAAACTTTATAAAATCACAAAATAGCTCTGCATGATAAGTTTTAATTCATTAACATCTTAATTTTTGAATTCAACTGTCAATCTATAGTCAACAGTTAAATAAACAGAACAATGTTTATTTGTTTTAGGCACAGCTTTTCTTCTGATGAATTCATTGCCTGATCCAAAACACATTATCAATATTTCCTCAACTTTGGAATGCTTTGCTTCCGTGACTGCTTATATATCTCATATATATTTACATAAAAGCAGATTGCAGTTACAATTGAATTTGAATTCAGAACAAATATTGCAATTATTTATAATTCTCAAACTCCAAACCAATCTGAGAAATGCAGTTGCTGTCCAATTTCTTCACTACACCTTATTTCTGCTATGCATTTAATTCACTTAATGCCTTTAAAAATTAAATTTTCGGTATCTCCAGTAGTACTCTGTTTGCAGTTCTGAAGGATTAAATTTTCTCACAGCCTATATTTTACCACGACGCAAAAAGTCATGTATCTAAGGCTCATATACATTACTACATGAAATAATAATAAATTGAAGGTATGACATGACTTTCTATGCCTAAATAACAAAGAAAATACATAAAATTTATTTTAAAAGGTAACATATTTCGTTATTAAAATAATTTTCAAACTATGCTAAAGCTGTATATCAAACAACAATGATTAAAGTGCAAAAGATATTGAAAATAAAATTATCGATTAGGTTATAATTTAAATTGTTACTTTACTTCACCAAAACTTCTAAACTGTTAGAAGCAGAGGATGTTAAATTATTAAAAGATATATACTAAGTCTACACTTTTTTATAGTTAGTTCTTATATGAAGCAAAAATGCAGAAAGTAGGAATAAAAATGTGCATCTAGGAAAAAAATTATAACTAGAAAAATATTGCAACAAATTAATTTTCAGCCACTTCACTTACCTAAAAAAATCAACATTTAAATTTTTTGCATTATTAATACAACAATATAAGAATGCTTAAAAAGTAACATATAAGAAAATACAGTTAAAAAGAATTACTACATCAGCAATTTTAGAATAGTTTAGATTTATTTTCTAGATAAAAGAAATTATGAAAAATGATGAGAACTATTATTAATCTAAATAGAGATCACATAAAAAAATCAGAAAAAAAGAAATATAACATGAACTATTAATTACAAATTTCTTGTGAACTTTTAATAAACAAGAATCATGATTATTATTGCCATTGATAAGATATTAAATAAAGCCAAAATGAACAGAAAAGAGCATTCTAAGTGACAAAAATACAATAAAACAATTACCCCAAAAAGTATAAAAATGTTAATGCAAAACCATTAAAAATATTATTACTAGTAGAATAATTACATTATTTTAAACTTTCCAAAACATGCTTTCTCGAAAAATAAAAAAACAAAAATAACCACCAAATCTCGGTGAAACTCAGTTTTAATATTATATGTTTAAAACGAAAAAAAGAAAGCAAAAATGAAATGGTTTTCACAATATTAAAAAAAGATAGGAAAAATTCAACATAATTAGTGATGCTAAAATTGGGTGCAACCATGCAAACAATCTCACACAACATAAAAACCCATGCAGACAATAGTTGGTAAATTACTCACAAACATCTTTAAATCTCGTGCCATAAGGCAACTTTTCCACTAGTTTTTCAGATGCCACTGACAGCAAATAAGGGAAGAAAATAATTCATCAGACAATACAGAATTTTTAAACAGCATTTTTTAAAGTTAGCCCACTTCATAAAATGCTTAATATACAGCACAATGACATAACATATAATCAAGAAGTAATTTCTTACAAAAAAATCCCAATTCTACCTATGGAAAAATTTATTTCTATATTACATTACTACTAATCTGTCTTTCCTTTTTTTATTCATCAACTACTATGAAGTTACTGACCAATATTTGGTACATGTCTGTTTTATCAGCAACCAAAGAAAGGAGGAAATGCTAATCTAGGAATCAAGGAGAAAATTTAGAAATTAAGAAAAAATTCTAGGCATAATCCACCCCTTCCCCAAAAAAGCACTTTTAAATCACAGAGTTTTAACAAAGATGTTTACAAAAAAAAAAAAAAAAAAAAAAAAAAAAACTTGCTTTACTTTAAAAATACAAATTCCCACTTTAAAAAAATTCATAATTTATTTTTTATGTGGTCATAAATTGGCAGTAGCAGTTTACCACTACCAGAAACTTAATTTTTGAAGCAGTGAAATATATATTATACTGTGTAGGCATTTCTTTTTCTGACAAATTTTCACTCTGCATTACCATATGGCTTCCTCTACAGTATATGACTTCATTTCATGCCTGCATCCAAAAATTCAGATAGAGGATAAAATACCCCTTCCTCAATAGAATCCAGTAACTTCCTTTTCACTTTATGGTAGATGAGTAATTGTCATTATTTCGAATCCGAAAAAAAAAAATTATTTCTTACAAATGAATAAAAAAAAAAGATTTAACAGTTACTTAGTTTTGGTTATGGCTTTCAGTTTGCCATACCGTTTGATGATAAACACCCTCAAACTTGGAATTAAGCACTGGTTGCCACTAAAACTGACAAGCATCTTACATTTGATTGTTGAGTTGATAATTAACAAAAAAGCAGCCTTATCATAAAATATTAACAAACAAAAATACATACTTGCAGTGCTTCTAAAATATAACTGAGCACACTGATCTCCTTTAAGTAGTTCTTCTAAAGTCTAAAAACATATAATTATATAGAATACTTGCTTAGTGTAGAAATGTAAGCAGATATTTAATTTACAAGAAAATAATTACAAATAGTCTAATTTATAAGAAAATAATTACAAATAGTCATTGTAGCAACATTTACTAATAAGTTAAATAAAATAATAAAATCATTAATATATATAAATTAATTCATTGCATCCATAAAGCAGAAAATGAAAATTGAACGAATGCAGTTCTTTCTTACCAGCTATGTTAAAACAATCAAAAAGTTTGTAAAATGCACTCATTTCCTTTTAAAATAGAAACACACAGAATTTTTAGAACATTTTATTAGCTAAAATTTAGTATTGGAATCTCAAAATGCATACAGCCTTATTTACATTTAAAATAAAACTAAATAAAGCACAATTTGCTAATATTTCCAAATTATGATTAGTTTATCAGTTTTTAAACAGTCTAACAGTTCAAGAGTATACTTTCTGTCATTTATGAATTTTTTACATTTTTTCAATGACCATCAAATGAGTAATAAAAGTATCTTAAAGCAGATAACCTTTGACCATCACTGTTTAATCCTTGCAATTTACCTTAATATTTACTCATTATCAGCTAATGTTAAATTTTCGCAACATTTGATAAATATACATATATAATGTTCTCTACTGTATGCAACTGGAATTTTTCACAGATTAACAATTTACAACTCAATGTTTTTTTGGAAAATTAAGACAGTTTAAAAAAAAAAAAAAAAAAAAAAACTTTTATAAATCTTTGAAATCTGTCAGTTCAGTTTTAATTTATTAAATGATATAGAATTGTAAAAGTCACAATTCCATGACTAGAATTAATATTGAATAATAATATAAATATGGCCGATGTTATCTCCTAGATAATTTGGTTGCAGCTAGTTATCTTATAATTTGGTTGCAGATGTTATCTCCTAGATAATTTGCAGAACCCAAAATCCTCAAATAGAAGTACAGGAGTAACTTCTCTCCCTTTACTCAAAGCAGAAAAACAAATACAGTCACATATCGAAAATCCGACGACCTGAAATCCGCCTATTCCTAAAATCTGCACTGCCTCTCACAATATAAACATTCAATTTATAGGTTCCAAAAACTGCAAGATAGACAGTGAAATATCGAAGAAAAATACTTACCAAAAAATGCTGTCATAATTACCAAATAATAATGACTCGTAATGAAAATACCAGAGCAAGAAATACCAAATTATTAACATAATTCCCCCCCCCCTCTAATCTGTATCGAGGTAAAAAATAAATCAAAGTTTCTAAAAAAAATTCTTTCAGGTAACTATTCTACTTCACTTTGCGATTATTAAAAAAAAAAAATTCCCCAACAAAAACTGCCTTTGTTTGTTAGCAAAATCATGAAATTCTGTTTCCCAAACAACATTAGTAAATGCCTGGCATACTGTATGGCCATCTTCTCTGTTTATTGAAACTGAGAGTGATGACAGTGAATTTTCTGGTTTTAGGGTCGGAGCACCGACACAGAGTGTGAATTTGATAGAAGTGAGAAAATATGTTTTAATGAGGGTTTGGAACATGGTGAAAAATACCTAAAATTTTTAAAACAGAGCTGTGTCACAGAGCAAAAGATTATGACTCTATATAATTTACAAAAAAAAAAAAAAAAAAAAAACCTTACTCTGAAGCACACTAAAGTTTTAAAAAAACCTCTATCAGAAAATGTTTGAAACATATAAAAAAATAAAATATTTTATGCTTTATTAATAGCCCTTATTTTTATGTTTTTATTGTATATATCCTTAATGTTTTTAAATATCTCTGTAATCACTAATATAAATGAATACTATAACAAATACATATAATTTAACATATAATAAATTAATGTATATGTATATTATTGTAATAATGTATATAATAATTTAATTAAATGTATCTAATATGCCTTATTTATTTTGCACTTTTAGTCTGAATATTATTATTTATCTTTTTTGTCCTGAAATCCGTAAAATCCTAAAATCTGCACAACATATTGTCCCATGCATTGCGGATTTCTGGACTACTGTACCACAGAATTAATTTATCCCAAAACTGCATCAAATGAATTTCATACGAGTTATCATCCCACTTTCAAAATCATATACTTATGCAAAACAACTCCGAAAAAAAAGAATTCATATTGCAGAAGAAAAGATTTCAACATATAAATGTAAGCTCTGAATGCTACTAAAACTGATAAATGACAGAGAAATTGAAATAGGTTGGATTACTTAATTTAAATAATGCACATCAATACTTTCTGCTTAAGCTCCATTCCATTTTTGACAGGAACACTGAAAGTATGGAATCTGAGCACATCCTACCATTCTTTCCTCATCACCAAGCTATGCTTAATAAATTTTAAGTGCCATTTAAGTTAGTAAGTACTGGAGTTCAAAGCCACTACAGTGACAAACATTCATACTGTAATGTTGCCAACTAAAACAACCTCAATTTGCATTTCTAGGCTAAATAAATTTAATGATATCTAAAACTACCTACAGAAAACTTTGAAATATATCTTTTTTTCCACAACGAAGTAAGTGAAGCCCACGTCTGTATCTTTCCCTTTTGAATTCCAATCGCTTCTTTTATTACTCCTTCCTACGACCAGGGCAAAAGTCCGCCCCTTTTGGCAAAGGCGAGGAGAGGTTTTTCTGCCCCTCTTCTGAGGTTGGCACAAAGTTCTTATCAATGCAAAAATCTATGACCAACCAGAATTCCATGCATGGAGAAGTTAAATCTTCCTGTCCCCACATTCCTTGAAAAAAGGAACAATATCATACCTAATCAATCAAGCACGTCTGACCAAAATTCAATTCCAAATATAATAAAGAGGCAAAGAGTACGTCATGTGTACTCCTTTATTTTATGCTTTATTATGTACAATGTGTATGTGGTGTACAAAAGAGTACATCATGTGTACTTTATAGAGAGACACTGAACTGGCTTTCAAATTCTAATAAAAGGGGAAAACATAGCAGCAATCAGATTATAAACACTAATAGCTAAATCGAAATTTCACTACATTCTAAATGTTTTGCAAACATTTCATATGCAAAAAATTACTCTATAAATAGGATTATGCTAACAGTGTATTTTACAGCTTTTCAAAATTTTAAAAATTACATTAGTATTTTTACACAAAAAGGTGAATTGCATTGCTTAGATGTTGAACAAAGCACTAAATCAGTTTCATGCTGATTTTTCTCTTATTTTCCTTGTGGCAAGAAAAGAGTTACAACAATTACAAACAACAGCTTCAAACTTTATCTTGAAATGTTATACAGGGTGCAGCAGAGAAACTACCTTATTTTTAAAATTATTATTAAATATAATATTATATAATATATATTATTTTTTCCCAAGTTATAGAGAGGCGCTTAAAGTTTTTTAAATTTTTTTATTATGGTTTAAAAAAATCATTAAGGTGGCCTCCGTTCTGGTCAATGCATTGAGATAGTCAAATTTTGAAGTTTCTTTCCACTTTTACCAGCATATCAATGGGTATGTTGTCGATAGCAGCTTGAATATTGTTCTTCAGTTGAGCCAGGGTCTTTGGACATTAGAGATTTCAGACAGCCCCACATAAAAAAAATCACACGAGCTAAATCAGGCAAGTGTGCTGGCCACTGACGATCACACCATATGGAGATAAGGTGTCCAAAATGTTCTTCAAAAAACCATGGTCCAATGATGCCTATTCTGGACAATGCACACCAAACAGTCACACATTCTGTATGGAGGGACTGCTCATGAAATTCTCGGGGATTCTTGCCACTCCATTATCACATGTTTTGCTAAATGCATTAACCAGAAAGACAAAAATGAGCCTTATTGCTAAAGAACACAAGGGGTATCATGAGGCATATTGTCAAGAATGGCTTTGCATGCACTTTTTTTGTAAAAGAAAATAGCGTGGATTAAGTGTTTGCACCACTGCCAATTTATATGGATGAAAATGGAGTATGTTGAAAGGTACGACTCCACGACAAACACACGCTCCTCTCTCGTCCACTGCATAATTGATAATAAACCTACATGACATAAAACATTAGATACCGCTCTTTTCAATGAGCCCCACCCCACTCTTCTCAGAATAAATGTTGCTAGATGGTGCAAGTTTCAAATAAGGAAGTTCCCTTGCCACATCCTGTAAACAAGAGCTACAAAAACATTTAAAATATTGAAAAATAACAACATAGTTTTATAATCTTTTCTCCGATTGGCAAAAAAATTTAGTAAAATAACTACAGTGTAATGTTTAGAAGCAGAATTCTAAAGTTTCACATACATTAGAATCATTTATGATAACGATTGTTTTTTTTCTTTTCCCCATTGGTGAGCACTTAGCCGACTTTAGCTTAGCCACTATTAAGACCAGAAGTGGTGGCCCCTTTACTGTGGGAGCACCTAGTAGGTAGGCCACCATTGCCTGATATGAAGGGAAAGACAATTACAGCCATGCCTTCTCCAGGATTCGATCCCAAGCCCTGCAGTAGTGCAGTAAGTTTCCCTAACCACTAAACCATGTGGACAGCTTATAGTTATTGTAAAAGGAAGCTTTTTAAAAAAATACACACATATTCACAGATGAAATATATATATATATATATATTATCTTCCGAGAAATATTATTGAGTATATTAAAGTCTACAATGCTCTTTAAATTTTGACTTTCAAAACTTACTATCAGAAAATAAAAAAAGTGCTTACTTTATCAGTCTTAGAAACATTGTATTTGCAAATTAATTTGCGTTTAATTTCATCAGCATTTGATGCATATGGATTAGCAAAGAAAGTTTCATCTGGACATTTGTCAACACAAACCTGAAAAAAAGATACAAAATGAAGTACATTTTTATTAATTTTCAAATAATTCAAAATTTCAGTCAACTCAAAGCTGAAGTTCTTAAAAATCTTAATGAAGAAACTGATTTCCAAAATGCCGATCAATAACTCAAAAAGTGTTTCTTACGAGTCTCAGTTAATGATACTATACTGTATTTTATTTTATTCAGACTAATTATACATTACCTGCACTGCACACAATCTTTAGTTCAAAACACAAATGATCTCATAGGAATTTCATACAGAATTATGATAGTATGGAAAACGTCATAAATTAAAAGGGGGCAAATTAATGCTTACATCTAAATTTAAATATTATAATTATGGCAAAGTAATCATTAAATCCACAGCTGTACATATGCACAACTATAACAGTTTTATTTACTTCCAGTTTTCCTAATTTTTTTTTACTTTCAACAATGTACTTCAATGTACAATATACAATTTTCTCTCTTCTATAAAATCAAGTTACCTCTTTATTTTTAAATTTTCTGATTTAATTAAAGATTTATGTTATTCTAAAGAACTGTTTGTACTTATAAAGTTCAGAAGAAACTGCTAATTTTGTATTCTTTAATAATATGAGTACTGAAAATAAATATGAAATGATATAAGTTCAGTACTGCACCGAATTTTTAGAATTTAGTGATGTTAAATAATATCATTTGATATAAAATCAGGACCAGGTGATTTATTTAGTTCCAGCATAGAAATAATTGTACTAATTCCACACATGAAGAATCAACAAAAGTAAAATAAGCAGTATGTGCAGCATGCTTAAATATATTAGCATATTCGGGGACTAAAGATAATTTAGATAATACTCGTATTTAAGCAGCAGTATGCTTTAAACCATTATCAGTTTCCTCTTGGATCAGAAGGGAAGGATTTCTGAAGCACAGCATTTATTGTCTCATCTAAAGTTGGTTATCTTTCCCGTAGATAGACGAATAGTAGTTATTTCAATATTTTCAGGAATTCTCTTTTAACACCACATGTATGGTTTTTTCCCCACATATTGTGAATATAAATGGTTGTAGGAAATGTTTTCCATGACTCATATTTAGTACCAGTAAACATTTGATTATATATTTTTCTACATTAAAGATATTTACATTTATAAAATTCTCTAAGAGTCAGGTTTCTACAATGCTGAAATTTACACCTAAATGCATTAAGCCTCTTTCTCATACAACCAATTTCAATAGACCACCAAAGAACATTATGCACACCATGATTCCTAGACATTAAAAATAAAGAGGACCATAAAACAAAAAAAAAAAAAAAAAAAAAAGCTAAGACCTTCAACAGTTGTATTTAGGCAGGAACCACCAGTACAATTGTTGAGAATATCAAAGGTATGGGTGACATGAAAAGAGCAAAATTCCAAAAAAAAAAAAAAAAAAACAATGCCAAATTGCTTTCTCTGCATTGAAGATTTTAAATGGAAGGTTTGAAGTGTCTCACAAGACCACAGAGAGACAAAATTCAAATTCTATCATGTGATCAGAAAGGGATTCATTTGCAGACAGACAGCAATTCAAAATATCCTGGAGAAGATCTGAACCAGTAACTCAAAGTAGCTGAAATCCTGAGATGCATAAAAAGTAGATCCATAATCTTCGTTAATAACAAATAAGTTGCTGGCAGAAATAAATTCACTCAGTTTTTCTTCACGAGCATCTGAGTAGGGACTAAAGATAATTCAGATTAGACATCGAAATCCATACACCAAACCAATCAATTTAAGATTTTTATACATTAGAAACTTGACTAATGTTATGAAGATCTAGTTAAATATTTCTTGAGGGATCAAAATAGTATGAAAAAAAGAGTGAACACAGTTGTGCCAACATCAAATGTGACCATATTGTAATCCATATTTTTATAATCAAGAAAAGTTGAAAGATCTGAGATTGAATGATAACTGCTGCCTCTACTTTACCGGAATTGCTATCACACTAAAGTTTATAATTGCCAGGATATCCAAGAAGGTAACTCGTGTAACAATGAGGCTCCTAAACCAATGCACAGGTAATACTATTGGTTTCCATATTTAAAATGAGCTATAGTGTCGCAGATTTAGATTTATGAGGTTTATTGCACACAATTCAGAACTTGCTCATCTGACTTAACCAAAATCAATTCGAGATTGAATGTTCTTCCTCATAAACATATGATTAGGACAGCATTCAGAAAAGGGTTTGTGGTTAACTTTTTTATGTATATTATTCGTTTTATGATTAAAATGGATAAAATTTATACAAACTACAACATTCGTCTTAGAATAATCTTTTGCTTTCTGTTCTTCAGAACAGTTAAAACATAAATAGTAAAAAGTATAAAAGTGCCCCTACCAAATCTTTAGCAGTAAATCTTTAAATCAAGCTCAAAATCTTGTTTTTAAGAGTTGTAACTGAATGGGGCACTGTGGAAGAGTAATATAATAATTTATAATGCACTGGACGACCTGCCAGCTTCCCATTATTAAAAGGTTCTTGTGTAAACGTAACGTCATAGTTAACTATGTCAACCTTAAAAGTTGAACAGTTGGTGACCGAGATCTAGCAAGATTTATTTGAACTGCTAGTATATTATTCTTCATGTGAATATTAGCCATAATTAATACATTTATGAATTTCATCTATCTCCATTTGACTTGCTGAGCCTATTTTAGAAATGCTTGAGTGATCCACAGGCAGCTACAGGGCATTATTTGCATTACACTCGGTGCAATTTATACATTTTAGTTCAGAGTTTTAGCATTGCTTGTGGCTGTGAACTATTTCATCATGGTTTTCACGTGCATCTTTCAGTTTAGCAGCTAATAGAGATGAGGCCAAATTGACAACAATGAGATGGCCTAATGTATTATTGCAAGCTGAATCATTTCCAATTCAGATGAGCCTGTCTTGCTCAGCTCCTCATTAGTAATGTCTAGAAATATTACACATGATAAATCTGGAAGGATTATTTTGCTGGATGTTCTATTTTAACTGAATTTTTCAGTTAATCAATTTGTGTTATTTTGTTTTCAAGGGTATGGAGATCAGCTTCTTTTGCTGTTTCGGTCAAAAGTAGACCTTTTGAAATCGGTTTTAGTCTTTTTACTGCGATTTTCAACTTGACAGGAGACATTTTTAGGAAGTATCTTTTTATATTCTCTGCATTGCCCCCCTTCCCTATTTGCATATAATAATGTTATATGTTCTTGAGGATGTTTCTTTTTATGGACTCCAGATTGCTCTCTAGCCAGTTTTCTCAGTATATCAGCATTTGTTTCTTTTTGTGCAGCTGAATCGAGTTTTCTCTCCAATCTTGCCAGTTCTTAAACACAAGTTGAAACTGATGTCTTAGGTCAACAGCTAAAGATTTTGAGATGCTGGAATTTCTATTTGCAAGGATTATCTCCAGATTTGTTAGGAAAAATACAGCTTCCTTTAAATAGTCTTTGGACTCCATATCCAAAGGATATACCAAAGAATCATAACAATTTTGTATAACGTCTAGTGGGTTTTGCCAACCTGCTACCCTGGGGTTTTTAACAGGTTGGATGTAGTAGGCAAATTTATGCTCAAACTTTGGACCCTCTGTAATGGAGCCCTCTTTGGAGATTACCCTGCCAAGGCAATTGAGCACACTCCAATAGGGAATTCATGCTCAACAATAAGACAAGTAGCAAATCAAAATTTCTACATTATTCACAATAAAACAAAAGCATAATAATCACTTTAAATGCACAATAATGAGATCAACCAATCGCATTCCCCTGTAAAGAAAGTACAACCAATTAAATTCCCCCCCCTCCCCCGAGGATTGACTACTTAATACCCAGACTAGTACTACAGTCATCTACAGATGATTTGGCACTTGCACATCACACCTCCATGTTATGGATTTGAAGTGGGGACCACATAATCTCAGTGGCCTTTTGATTGCCCCAAGTTGAATAGCCTAGTTGCCAGAGTAATCTGATCCTTCCTGGCCACATATACACTCCTGCTATCACAGCACAAATGGTATCATAGCATTGATTAGGTGGGATTCTGATTTAGAGGCATTCAAACACAATCTCACGAATGATAGCTAGCTGTATTTCAAGTCTGACAGCACTATGGTAACAGACATCATAACCCATGCATTATATGTTGCAAATAACTCTGCCACTTGCATAACCCTTGCATTATACATTGCCACATAAGACTTTAACTTGCATAACCCTTGCAGTATATGTTGCTATATATCTGTTGTAATGAAAGTTCTCCACCAAAAAACATTCTTAAAGTTAGAGAAAAAACATGAAAGTAGTACCTTTAGTGTGGTAGTAATCACCATCTAAATCTATGATTTTCGGCCAACGAGTTTTTCAAAGCCTTCAGCCCAGAAAACTGGTGGCCACAAGTCCAAAAATAGACCAACCTCATTTCAAACATCCTTGCAGAATGGAAGATAGTACCATAAGATATAGCTGCAGGCGTAAAAATAGGTAGAAGTCCGAAGGAGAATGCTAGGAGCTGTGAGGGAGTTGTAGCAAAAGATCCAATTCAAGTCAGTACAAAGTCGAGTCGGTGAATGCAGACACATGTGGGGGTCTTGCATTATCTTGATGGAGCATTACCTTTTTGTGCAAGAACTCAGTTCGATGTTTTTCTTTGATAGTAGTGTCAACACAGACCAGCATCTCACTACATTTTTCCAGATACTCTTTGTGTGGATAATACCCCGGCAATCCCACCAGATACAAAACATGATCTTTTTGTTAGTCAAATTACGCTTTGCGACACTGTCAACGATTTCGGGGGCACACCAACCCTCTTTTTGGCCTGTGCTGTTGAAGTAAATCCACTTTTCATCACAAGTGATGATCCAGTCCAGAATTTTATTCTTGCGTTAACATTCGAGCAGACTAGTTCACGCTCGAACACATCTGCCCTTCTGCTTGAGTCAGCTCATGCTGCACCCAGCAATTTAACTTGTAT